CATTTTTCAGCAGAAAATTATGGTTTAGCATGAAGTTGAATTGATCCTGACAACTCTTGTTCCAAACTTTCTCACAGTGTAATGACAGGAAGATGTAAAACTATGCATAACTTTTGATTTTTGAGAATGGTGAAAATATCACCAAATTACAAATTGAAATTTGTGCAGATTTTTCTGCCTACATTTTTTGTGTTCAATATTTTGGGAGATACAGTCTCATACTGTTTTCTTGCTTGTTATATGGGTTTACTACAACAAAATTCTCTCATACAAATGTTCTGGTCTCTTGAAATTTGTTTTATATTGATCAATTGAATTGTTTCTGGGGTGCGACACCTAGGCAAGCAAAAGGGAAATGGTAGACTTTCTTCTCTCATTTGGTATGACAGAGGGGGGCATTTAAAAAGATCAGTCAGCTGGGGATGGTGTTGTTGGGCTCTTATCTTGTGCAAATTTTTCCTGATGTAAAATTTGTTCCATTTTAGACAGAGGTGCCAGAGCAGAACCCAGCACAGCTCTTTGATGTTCAAGTGGACTCTCCTGATTTGGACACCAAACAAAGCACTGTGAGTTTGTCAAATATTTTTTTTTTTATTCAATAGTTTGTGAAAGAGGGTAGTCTGAGGAAGTGAATTTTCATCATTTGAAATCTGTGCCACATTTTTGAACTGCAGTGCTTGTAAATTGAGAATTCATTTTTTTATTTCAGTACCGGTGGTTTGCGGAGAAGAATCAGTTGTACACGGATTGGAATTCCGTGGTACCCATGAAGGTCAGCGTTCCGGACGCTGAAAACTCGTACGTTTTGTGTGCTAAACTCGTTTTTGCCGACGACGAAAACGCCTTTGTTCCCATGTGCGTCAACTGCTCTCAACAAAAATCAGGTACTTCATGTAATCTCTTTATATAAAAAAAAGCCAGTCTCAAAAACGCCAATTTTTCAAATTCACTCGAATAACCTCTTGAAAAAAAAATTCGAGTTGTGGAAGTGAGGATTTTTATGTTTTTGACGGAAAAGAAAAATTGGACGAAATTTTAATTGGTGATATTCTAGGATTCAAATTGTTTTTTTTGAAAACGCACCAAGTTACATTTTTTATTGCGTTTCTGTTTCCTGTGTCAAGGGAATAATTTGCAGAAGGTCTCTCGAAAATTTGAGTTTTAAAATTTGGGTACGGAAAGCCCTTGAGTTGATGGGTTTTTTAAATATATTTTTCATAATTAAGTTTGACAAGGACTTTGAAAAAAATTCGACGTGGAAATCGAAGTTCAATTGCAAAATGAAATACAGTAAATTCTCATTACAACGAAATACGTACTTGAAACGAATCATCGATTATAACGAAGTGGTTTTTTTTCAGTCCCTGTGCAATTTTGACAATGTTAAAATAGTTCCTTCAAGAATAATATTTCGTTATAAAGAAGCTTTTGAGCGTTGGCTTCGTTGTAACGGGATTGAAATGTGCAATACTGTATACCCAATTTTCTCTCTCTCTCTCTCTCTTTCTTTTTTTTTTTTAAATGAAAATTGACAATTCCAGGTAACTACTCGCCGTCGTCGTCGCACATTTTGCAATTCCCGAGTCGAGACGCCGAGTACGTTTGCGAAGGTCGAGGAGGAAGTGGATCCATGGCGACGTCGACGAGGAGGTTCGTGAAGCAAAAGTTGGCCATACCCGAGCCGGGTTCCACCTGCACCCGATTCACCATGAAGCTGACGTGTCGGAATTCCTGCCTGGCCTCCGAGTC